CGAGGTGAAAATTAGTACTTCAAATTACATTTTCTGCCCTCACAATTAGAGAGGGACTAAATTCAAAACTAGGGGTATTTTAGTAAAAAAAATTCCACAAGCTCATTCATATTTTTAATAGTATATGTGAGTACACATGTAATTGTTATTAATTAATTATTATAAGTTGGTTCAGTCTTGGGAATGGCACATTAGATTTCCTAAGTTCGGAAACTTAGTTAAATATTTGTTCTCTTTTGCAAATTAGAGACAATTAAACAGATATCCAGAAATAGTTCTATATTTGTTCTTGTAAATAAACTTTTGGAGAAATTATAGACTTGAATAAACTTATTTTTCTTAGCTTTTATTGGACATCACTTCCAGGAATTATTTCTTTATTTTTTCTTCCCCATTAATCTCTACTACTCATTATTCTATTTATTTTTTTCTGCAGATTAGGAGTGTTAAAATGAAATAAATGTTAAAACAATCTGTTGCAAATTGATGGGGCTAGAAAGGCTGGGGCAGACCAAAAAGAGCATGGGTTGAAATAGTAAGAAATGATTTTAAGAGATCATAATTTAACAAGGGATGTAGCACTAAACAGAACGGAAAAACAAAACAGGATTCATGTAGCCGACCCCATATGGTTGGGATAAGGCTTAGATGATGAAAATGAAACAAATGTCTTTAGACAATTCTATCTGTATTCTTGAAATCAAACTTTCAGAGAAATTCTGGACTTGAATGGATTTAATTCTTCTTAGATATTTATTAGGGATTGCTTCCTTATTAATCTCTACTATTCCATTCTGTTGTGCTGGTATCATCCGGTGTTGCAAGGCCACCTTAATCTAACACAAGATTCAAGAGTAGACAAGTGTGCATATCTGCATTAGTTGATTCATGTGTAACTTGTCAATCCCGCACCTCATAATCCATGAGTCACACAGATTACTTCTTTGCAACAGAGGACAGAGCAATGTTTTCAACCAGCAGTTGATCCAGATGATCGAACCATTGGAACCATCACCTGATCCCTTTCTAGGTCCAGTTTTCCTAAAACCCGCTGACCCAGGCAGTTCTACCATTGATCCATTCGACCTGGCCACCAGGTCGCGGGTGACACATTAAAATGTATTGAAACTTCCGGAGGGCATAACTTTGAGCTCAGTTGTCCAATTGAGGTGATATTTTTTATTTTGGTTAACTTTTTGAGATCTACACATTCCAAGGTGCCAAAAGGCACCTTGCCCAACTATTTTTGTCAAAATAAAAACCCTCTTTTGGCCTCAAATTTCAATTTTTATCTTTTTTATTTATAAAAAATAAAAATATAAATTAGACCTAATATGAACCATATATATACATATATTACATGTAGAATATAATTATACATTATTTAATTGATAGAATACATGTATGTGATGTGTCACAGCCTGACCTATCCAACCTGGAATGTTTTTTTAATCAGCAACCAACCAGAAAAATTCATTAATGATTAAAGTAGAAGATGCAACAAGTAGTTGTGAACAAGGAGCATGTCCAAAACAAGGCAAGCCACCCAACCCATATTACAAGTGTGCCCAGTACATTGATTATCTTTGAAACTCTTGCTTAACTAAGCTGTTTGCAGATCTTCTAACCCAAGGCACTTGGATGTTCTTGTCTTTTGACAGCCTCAGAAATCTTCTGAAATCATTTCTCATCTGCCAAGTCACCCCCTCTTCTTTTTTCAACCATCCCAAAACTACCTTTGAGTCCCCTTCAATAATTAATCTGTCAATTCCCAATTCTTTGGCTTTCTCTACCCCATGAACTGCTGCTAAAAATTCTGCTTTCACCAAATCACTATGCACAATTGGACCTGAAAATAAGGCACAAATAATGCCTCCCTCATCCCTAATAACTCCTCCAATACCTGAGGGACCCGGATTACCCATACTACTACTGTCAAATTTCAACTTCTTCCAACCAACCATTAGGGGTGACCAAACCTCTAGGGATATTTGTTTCATAGAGGAAGAGCCAGCAAATGCTCCCCAATTCCGGAAAAAAATCCTCCACTCTGAAGTCAGAAGTTTTTACCCAACGAGCAACTTTAAGAGTAATACAATCAATTAGCACCTCCAAACTTCTCTCCTTTTCCTCAATGATTCTTGCATTTCTTTCTTCCCACACTGTCCAACATAACGCTGCCCTTGTACATCTCCACAAAATCCTGCCTCTTTTTTTTGTATTTCTCAAAACAAAAGGGCTGAACAGTCCATCCAAACCGTCCAACCTGGACTGTTGAACCACTGACCCACAACCTAGAGGAGAAAATGATTCAGCCTCTGGATTGGTTTTTAAAGCATCGCCACTGAATCAACACAATAAAGTGCTGAGTCACCAGCATGAGAGACACAGAGAAGACCTAGCATATTGCAGGCACAAGTATGAGCTTAGATCTGTCCACATGAAACAAGAGGAACTGATTCTTCTGCTAACTGCAGCTCCTATTTTAATCGGGCTTCTGATCTTAATCTATATGAAAATCATTTTTTACTCTTGTAAACAGGAGTTGAGGGGAGAAATCTTTCACATTATAGTCAACATGCCCTGTTACAAGCACAGAGTGCAGGATTTTTTTCTTATTACTTGCGAGAAAGATATGGGAAGAAAGAAATCTGTAACTCAAATGGAAGGAGAATGTTCCATATTAGTTTTGTTACACTGCTGCATAGTTACCTTCTTTCTGCTTTTTGTTTCATAATTCCCAAATGAAATAGAATGTTACTATGTTATTTTTTAACTATCAAGGTAAGATTCATGCACCCTTTCTTTTCTTTTGTAAAGTGGGAAGGCTGAAATGACCCTCAATTCTTTTTTCCTTAATGGTCCGTTTGGTTTGTGCGACTAGGATGGAAAGTGTGAGACGCGACGAGAACACATATCTTAATTTCTGGGACGCGGGGTCTCACCAAATAGGTGCGACCCCACTGAGAAGAAGCTGAGTGAGAAAATTTCATCGAGGGAGGCAACTGAGCATAGTCTTCTTCTCAGACGCTGTCCAACGGTTTACTCACCGGCGCCATCTCCGGTTTTCATTGCCAGAAAATGGCTTCCGGCATCTGCCTCTTCCAGAAAATGGCTTCCGGCTTCCGACGTCTGCCTCTTCCAGAAAACGGCTTCCGGCTTCTGGCGTCCAACGGTTTTCATTGCCAGAAAAAGGCTTCCAGCGTCTGCCTCTTCCAGATCTAGCGTCGATCTTTCACCACTATTCTTCCACCGCCGCCATCACCACGAGCACTACTGAGGTACTTGGTTGAGAAAAAATTGGTCTTTCTTCCACCGCCATTCTTCCACCACCGTTCTTCCACCGATAACTTTCATTTCTTCTCCCTTGAACAAATTGGTCTCAGCAACCAAACGGACCATTAATGAAAGAAAAGAAGGCCTTGATACCAATCGAGAAAGAAAAAAAGAAGAGCTTGATCATCACAAATTGGTGAACTTTCTCTTCTTTTTCTTAAGAGACATCATACTTTGGATGTTGGAGGACAATACAAGTTGTTGACTGCACAATGAAGTATGAGTGTTGGTACACAAATCAATTGGTGTTTTGGCATTTGGCTAGGGTTCTAACAACATTCCAATGATGAGGCCCAAGGTACAAGAGACAAAACCCTTGGGTCCTCCTGATGTGGCACTCAGACAATTGGACTTGTCAGACTTGGTTTAATTCTCACACATGATGGCCCTGTTATCTCTTTGTGATTGAATAAGCTATGCCTGGTGTTGGCACTGAAGAATGCTCTCTTTACACCTATGCTAAAACAGAGAAGGAATAGCATTGGTCTATTGGTGCTGGTATCAAGTGCCAAAACCTATTTGTCTAGGCTCCACTTTAGTCAGAGTTCTTTTTCTTTTTTTGGTAAGCTGGAGTCAGAGTTCATATCACACCACCAAATCCAAATCTCTTCAATCTCCCTTGAATCATCTGGCAAGTTCAAAGGTGTCAGAGGTAATTGGCTTCTACCAGCATAAGTTGCCAGTACTGCTATCCCAATGGTCACATGCCAACTTAATAATAATCCCCTACATAAAGCTTTTTGACTCTCTTCATAAAGCATATGACCTGATCAAGCACATCCTTCATTAGAAATTTAGAATATAGGAAATGAATCTAATATAAACAAAAAAAAAAGAAGAAATTTAACTGTGATGATGGAATATAGTACAAATATAAATATAATGTATATATGATCATAAATATATTAAATATCTTAAAACACTCCTAACAAATCCTTGTTTGTGGAACTCACCATGTCAGACTCCTGAACATATTGGATTCCCATGCCTGTTTCAGAATCCATGCCTCACTGGTTTTCTGTATGTTTTTACATTCTGTTCTCTTTCTTCTCCCTTTACCCCGCAAATATGTAAAGGTTCAAAAACTTGAAGGCTTTTGATAGAACAATTCCACTTCTTTCTGAAACTTACATACTTGCACAATACAAGAAACTGCTGGCGCATGCTCCTATCCAGAATCAAGAAAGCCTAGGCTTTTCTTAAAGTTGTATATTCATTCCAAATGGATGAATTGGCAAGCACGGACAATGGAGTTCTCCATATAAATTCCTTTTAAATTAATAGAAAGCAAGTAATACACTTCTATAAAAATATAGAGAAATAATCTGAAGATAGAGACTTCACAACTTTAATTTTCCAATATTTCTTTTCCAATCTCTATATTCTCAGAATAGTGGCATGCATACTTTACATTTATGTGATACCTGAGGAAAAAAGTTCTAAACTAGAATCAAACAGAGATCAAGTTGAAAGAAGGATACCAAAAGGCAAAACAAAGAAAAAAAATAAAAGAACGAAAAGTTTTAATATCACAGTTAGGAAATTGGAATATAGAAAAAAGAACAAAATTAAACACATGTAATGAATAAATGCATATCTCCATCCATCACAAAAAGGTAAATTAGGCACAAAAATAAGAAGCAGAAGAGGAAGGTAAGGCCCACCTCCTTCAAGAATTTCCTGCAGATGCTGAAGTGCAAACACTGACTGAATCAAAGGATCCTGATCCACTGTGGACCTGTGATTATCAGCTTCTTCTTCCTTCACCTCTGATGACACATCAGCGGCTACATCATCTTGTGAAACATCTTCAACTTCTTTCCCATTTTCTTTGCAGTAACCAGTTTGAACTTCTTCACTAGATTGTGGGTCACTTACATGAGTATCATCCCTATTCTCTATGCCACAATTTGAAGATATCTCACTCTGTCTTCCATTACTAACAACAGAAGAACTACCCATCTGCAAAAGGACTGCATTGTAGTTTCTCGAGTCAGACTCCAAGCTAGAAAATGAATTCTCCTTTTCAATTTTGACCCTTTCTCCTCTAAGCTTCTTACTGGTATCAATCCTACCTTTTCCTTGTTGAGACCTTTGAACTGCATTACCTAAACTCTTTCCACCCAAATTTTTCACCTTGTTCTTATCTCTCACGGATCCCATTCCTACAGACACATCATACCTCAATTTAGGAACGCTTGTTGCTGTGGAGGACTTGCTGCTCCTATCCTCACTATTCTCAGAATCCGTACCAACAGGAAAACCAGCCCCCATTGCCAACCTAGAATCTGAAGTTGAGCCTTTGGCAGCAAAAACAATGGGAACAGAAGGGCTCTGCACTGATGAATTCACAGATGCAACAGAAGCTTCACTCTTCTCTTTGATCTCCGCAGACAGATCTAGTGAGCGCCCAGGCTCTACAGCATTAGACAGACCCCTTTTCAAGATCCTGTTCGAATCAAAACCACTACCTGCATCCTTTGAAAGGTCTCTCCTAATCCTCCTCCATTTCTTCAACCCAAACCCTTTCGTTGTCGGAGATGTCCCCCCAGGAACTCCAGGAGACTGATTCGTCTCTGAAGGCGGAGTAGAGGCATGAGATTGATTTGTTTTAAGAAGTGGTGTCTCCCCAAGAAGCTCAGAAGACTCATTTGCCTTTGAAAGCGGTGTTTCCTCGACAACTCCAGGAGACTCATTTGTGTTAGAAGGAATCTCTACTCCTATATCAGTTTCAACTCCTTTCCCATTTGCTTCATCCAACTTTTTAATCTCCACATGTTCTCCGGAATTCACAATCTCATTAACACAAGGCCCATTACTCTCTACCTTAGTTTCATCCAAATGGGTCACCTTAGTTTCATCCAAATGGGTCACCTTTTCCGAGGTTTCTTCCTCCTTCGTTGCAACTACAGATTCTGAACACTGATCTTCCAATAAATCCATCACTAAATCTAACATACAGAGGAAACGCTTAACTACTGCCCAAGCCAAATCACTCGGTCTTCAAAAGAATTGCCCAATAAATCCCAATTTCCGCTCATAATTTCGTCATGTTTCCTTCCTCTGCTCCTCTATCCAATTATTCAGATTAGGAATCATCTCCTTTCTCCACCATCCAAACCCTGGTCTCCAAATCTACCAAAATTAGAAAGGATATCATAAACTACTCAAAGCTAAATTTGGACCAAAAATACGTAGATTTAATCTAAAATAAAAATGATCAGAAGCTCTTTGTTGATCATAAATGTCATAGATTGACGAATTTAGGGGGCGAGGGGGAGAAAGGATTCAACTTCGAGTTGATCCTCTCTAAAAATATCGGATCGACTAAAAACAAAGTTGGAAACAATAAAAAGATTGAGTTCAAAGTGGAAAAGGGAGGAGAGAGAGAGAGAGAGAGAGAGAGCACCTTTAATTTTACCTAGGAAGCAAGGATCATGAAGTTGAAGATGATAAACAGGGGAAGCTGAATCAGGGAATCTGACGGTGGTAGAAACCCTGAGCCTTGGTAGGATTTGCAGCTTTAAAGCCGGAAATTATTGGCGAGAAAAAAAAAAAGTGAAGATGAGTTGTTGGAACGTGGGGAATGTCGGAGTTGCCAGGTAGATAGGTGGCATAATACACGTGGCAATGCTGGTAAAACCCGAAGGTTCCGCTGGCACATCCTTATCAGCACGAGTTCGGATCTACTCTCACAGAACGCACCTTACGGGCACATCCCATCATCTATCGAAAACATTTCCCATTATTATTCATGAGAGATCTTCTCAATGGACGGTGGGATGTGTCTGTGAGGTCGATGTGAAGTGCGCTCAGTGAAAGCATAATCCAATTCCCTCTTAGCACCAATCGCATCATTTCAGTTCAGGGCTAATCATCATTCAGTACAATCCAAACCATTTAAGTCGTAGCCCATATGCTAATTTATAACCAAACCCAACGAATTGAGATATGCTCCTCACACAGGGCGCCTCACAACGACCTTGTATTGGGAACATTTCCGGTAAATAATAACACATAAATACGAAAGATGTTCCGATGTTCCCAATGCACAGTGGGATGTGTCTTTGAGGTCGTTGTGAGGCACCTGTGTGAGGAGCAGATCCGGTCTCAAACCAAACCCTTTTGTCCCTCTTTGTGGTTGCTTTTTCGGCAAGCACTTTGGTCCTAGGTAGGGGTGCAAATGTCAATCCGAGATCCAATCCTATTTGGTCGAATTCGAATCACTTCTGTTTGGATCTTTTGTTCAGATCAGATTCAAATCACCATTATTTGATCTGAGAAGATTCGATCCGATATATATTATATATTTATAAATATATATATATAATATGTATATATGTTATTTATTTATTTATAAATATATATTTTATAAATTTGTCTTATTATTTATTTTTTATAAAAAACATATATATATATATATGATGAAAATAATTACAAGATATTTGTATTTTTTGTTTTTATTTAAATTAATATATTTTATTTTTTAATAATATATTACTTTTTAAAGAAAACAAACTGGATCGGATCAGATCCGAAGATCTGATTTATCAATAGGATTCGAATTCAAATAGAGTCCTATCATATTCGACCAAATATTCAGATTGGATCTGACATGAACAATGTCGGATCAAATTCGAATTAGGGTATATTCGTATATACCCTTATTGGAATCCGATCCAATCTGTTTGCATCCCTAGTCTCAAGAAGAGAGAGAGAGAGAGAGAGAGAGAGAGAGAGAAGATAATAACAATGGACTCCGGATTCCATATCTCTTGCCCACGTCTACTCACAACACACTAACCCCCATGCATAATACTATGTAGGAGGATGAGATATTCTCCATGTGTGGCTGTAATGATATGTGGGTAGACGTGGGCAGAGTTATCATGCAAAGGAGATCCAAACTCATAACAATGAGGTTGGATCCAATGTGATGATGATTTTTGGAAATAGAGGATTTCTCGTGGGAATCACACGGTTTAGTTTATAGATAAACTAGCTAGTGAGGACCCGTGCGATGCACAAGCTTTGTTAAGTGAAATCTAAACAATAAAAATACATAAGAGTAATGCATGTATGTTTGGTTTCGTGGGAGTTTTCTAAGAGGCTTATTTTTAGATAAATGTTTATTTGAAAAATGCCATTTTAAGTGTTTTCTACATTTTCTATTTGGTTGGACGTTTTATGGGCATTTCAATTAACACCCCATAAAGTTGCTTTCCACCTCAAATAAAGTGCGCTACATCAGCATTTCATTTCAAGAAATGCCCAAGCATTGGAAGAAGCATGAATTTGATGTTTCCCCAGCCTAAATGCCCCACGAACATAAGTCAAAGCATTTTAGTTTTCTAGTGTTTATTTGATAAACAATGAGACCATGCATTTTAACTTTTTAATAACTAATTTGATAGAAGTCTTCCCGAGTTGGTCGGTGTGCTAGCATTTCTGATCGGCTTTGGTTCAACAACTTTTCAACCTAACCGAGTTAGGTCAGTTTCAGTTTGGTCATTTGTAAACCAACCCAAAACTGAACTAACCCGACCATATATATATATCTATATATATATATATAGATATATATATATATAGATATATATATATATATTTCTTAGTCTAAAATATTTTATATCATAAATTTACTTCTTTTTTTAATTTTTTAATAATATCACTATATTTTTATTAAATTTAGATTTAACTTTAAGCTTAAATATTTTGAACAAACAAATCAAACCAAAAATAGATCCAAATTGATACAACCTAAGTTGACGAGTTTTCACTAATGGTCAGTTAGTTTTGGGTGACAAATTCCCAACCCAACCAAGTCGATTTGGTAGGCAAAACAACCTACAATTGAACTGAACCAATCCTTCAATACTCCTAATTTTAGCTAAACTAATAGTTTAATCTCTAATAATTATTGAAAATTTATAGCAAAAATACACGATTATTGAAAATAAATTTATAATGAAAATACATTAAATTAGTTAATAAATAGTGTAATCTCAAATAATAGATTAATCTCTAATAAATATTAATCAATAAATTATAAAAATACATAATTACTAAAAATATATTTATAAAAAAAATACAATAAATAAAATTTCAAAAGTTAAATAGTAGTTGTTTAATCTCCAATAATTATTGATAATTTTCTGTTAAATAAAAAAATAGATTTATAAATAATTATTAAAAATATATTTATCAAAAAATACAATAAACAATTAATGAAAATACAATAAATATTAATTTTAGTTCTTAAAAATATATAATGAATATACACTATTATCGTACAATTATTATTAATAAACATTATATTTTTTTGAAAGTTATTTTCTATAATTTTTAATTGATATAAGCAAAATTAGTTATTTACAACATTATTTAGTTATTAAAATAATATTTCTATTTAATTAAAATATTAATTATTTCTTGATTTTAATAAWTTGTAAACTAATAGTTAGTACTATTAGTACATAATTCGTAATTAATTTTGTAAAATATTAAATTATTATTTATATGAATATTATGAAATCTATGAAAATTATTTTTCTACTTTTAAGAAATTTTTTAAATTTATTACATGATTTTGTTATTTTAACTATTTAAAATTTAGTCATGTTAAATATTTCGTAATTTAAATATTTAATAATATATAAAATATTTATATTTTTTCAATATTTGAATTTTATTTATTTTAAAGTTATTACATAATATTAGATATTTTGTTATATACTTATTTATCTATTTTTAAAGTTTTGTTATTTAAGATATTTATTTATTGAAATATTTAGACAAAATTTTATTTTTTGAATGCTAAATTTTTATTATTTGAATAACATTTAAATTGAATAATTCATAAAATTATAATTTATATTGTTACTACATAATTTCATGATGAATTTTGTAAAAATATAATAATATGAATATTTTTAAATCTATTATAATTAATTTTTGTTTTTTGAATAAATATTTTAAAGTTAGTATATAATTTCGTTATAATATTTAAATAATTCTGATTTTTTTAGTTGAAACTTTCTTTAGATAAGCATCGATAAAAAGTGGGGGGAGAGGATAGATAGGAATTAGAGATAGTTTAGGAGAGAATCTCTCTACTAAATTAGAGATAATTTAAGAGATAAATAGGAGTTAGAAATAATTTAGGAGATAAATAGTAATTAGATACAATTTAGGAGAATATGGGGGAAAGTGGTGCCACTTGGCTAAACATTAGAAAAGCAAATCCCTCTTTCTTTATGGTTGTTATAAATAATTAAGCCTATGCTATTTTCTTATTGGTTTAATGGATAATTATGTGGAATTAAAAAAATAAAAAATTCAAAGAAAACAGGAAATTAGGAAGATGGATTTGGGGAAAGAAGAGACATGGTGACATGGACCGTCTTTCTATATATAAATAGATAGATAGATAGATAGATAGATACACATACGTTTATACATGTATATATGCACACATACATCTATATGTTAATGTTTTTAAAAATATGGTTGAATATGTTTGAATATTTTCTAATAGGATTGTAAATTTTAATTATTTTATTTTTATTTTTAAATAAAATAAAAAACAAAAACATAATGATTGACATTATAAGGAATCATGGGGAGTGGGGATCTCCATGGGGATGGGGATAACTTTATCCCCATTAGCGGGGATGGGGATAGGGGACTTGGAGAGGCTCCTCGTCCCCGTCCCGCCCCGTTGCCATTCTGAATCAAACTAATGAAACTGATCAACCCGATTTTTAGTATTTCCAGTCGGCTTTGGTTCAACAATTTCTCAACCCAATTAGGTTGGATTAGTTTCGCTTTGGTCATTTATAAACTGACTAAAATCAAAATGACCTAACTATATATATACATATATATATATATATATTTTAAATATATTTTTTTAATATGGAAAAGTGAGAAAATTCCAATATTTCTTAGGCTAAAATAGTTTATATCATTGTAAATTTTAATTTTTAATTTATTTTTTTTATTTTTAATATATTTTTTTAATAATACCATTGTAAATTTTAATTTTTTTTTTTAAGTTTAACTGAAAATTGACCCAAACCGATATAACCAAAGTGACCAACCCCCGAACTTGTTCAAGTCGATTTGGTTGGCTAAACAACCTACAACTAAACCGAACCAGCCCATGAACAAAAGTTTAATCTCCAATAATTATTAAAAATATATAGCAAAAATACACAATAAAAAAAATTTAAAAAGCTAAATAATAGTAGTTTAAACTCCAATAATTATTGAAAATTTTCTGTTAAATAACAAAACAAAAATAGATTTATATATAATTATTGAAAATATATTTATGATAAATACAATAAATAATTACTGAAATACAATAAATATTAACTTATTATGTATAACTATATAATAAATAAAGATTAAGTTTTTAAAATTATTATTCATAAACAATAATTTTGTTGAAAGTTATTTTCTAGAATTATTAATTGGTATAAATGAAATTAGTTATTTACAATATTATTTATTTATTGAAATAATATCATTATTTAAA